GTTTACGTTGTTTAACACGCAATCGATTATCACAATGGCTTTATATTTGGATCTGCGGTGCCAGATTGTCTCTGTGGTGCGAGGTCGCCACACAGTACAAAATGCTAATGTTTCACAACCCCTACAAGAGTTGTCGTTCCTTACACTATATCTCTGCGACCGGTTCACAGTCGACCAGTAGCTGGCCACGCGGTCAAAGTTTGACTTCGGATAAAATATGGCGGTACATATGACATCACTAATGATGGAACACCTCCATCTCTCCCACAGTGCATTGTAATACCCTCAATAACACCTTTGTAAATGTCTCACGCAATATCAAGATTATTGAAAAACGTATTTGTGTCAAATAATAAAGTATTAAATTATTTTTATCTTGTATCTGTATTATTATTTTAAAAATAGACGTTTTTTACATCTGGAAAATGACTATATTTGTTTATATGGTTATAAACACGATGGATTATTACAGAATTTGAGTTAACAGTCATCAAACGTCGTGTTTACGTTCTGTACTTTCACTTTTCAAATAGCTCAAATGTCGTTTACAGTCTACAGCTGTGTCCTTCGTTGGTGATGTCAAGGATGCTGCCATAGTTTTGAACGACGTCAAACTTTGACCCTGACGGCGAGGTCAGCTTTGGTAGTCCGTGAGCCGTTTTTTTGGTGTCGTTCACTTGTGCTGCGCACTCATGAAAGATACTAGAATACTACACACACTTGTGAAATATATTTGTTACTGCTGAATACGTTATTAAATTGTCTATTTATTACATTTTCACAGGCAAAATATATTCAAATTAATGGCATGTTTAACCAGATTTAAAACGAGGAAGCTGACAATGACACTACTCACTCATGTAACTTCGCAGCACGCGACAAAATACGGTCCATTTTTAAAAAATCATTGAAATATGTAAACATAAAAATAAATTTCAATGTAGATTTATTTTCATATTCAAGTAGAAAATGTTAGTTATTGTTATTCATGTCATGTTCAGAGAGTTTAACCTGTAACAAGTTTCTACGCGGCAGAAAAAAAGGGCGGCAAACCTACAGTTGTCGCTGTTGATGGCACGAATCCCCTTGAAATGCCTGACGTGTTAGCTCCACATTCAAGACGTCCGGTTGGAGATTTGATTTGATCTCTGAGAAGGTAATTTGCGTTGTATTGTTCTCTGACTTTCATGGAAATGAAGGTTTACCCTGGAATTGAAGGCAACGTAACAAATAAACAACCCCTTCTGATGTCTTGGTTTTGTGGTTTTTGTAACGGGCTTTATAATTAGTCAATTTTATCGGATGATTTGTGCTCTGTCTATTCATAAGTCTGCAAAAGTGTTTTTTTCGCATGATATTTTTCACTAGTGAAATACAACACTTTCATCAATGCAATATTTATCTACATTTCATTAACAAAAATGTAATGAATGGTTATTTTTAGTCAATCAATGTGACATGATTGATAGACCTGACCTGTCGTATTATTTTCAAAGCGAAGTCTAGCGTAGAATAGAACAACTACGGCGGGCATCCAGTTTATTCAAAGAGGTGTTATGTAGGGTCCCGCAATGCATTCTTGGAGTGAAAAAGCGCGTAAGTTATTGTAAACTGATCGATGACATACAAAACCGTGTTATCAAGGATGCCGCCATATATTCGCCCGACACCAAACTATAACCCTGACCGTGAAGTCTGCTATTGGTGGTCCTTTAGCCATTTACAGAGGTCTATTGTAACTGTCAAGGAACGACAACTCTGGTACAGATTGGGAGAGATTGTTGTTTTTTCATCCTTTTTTTATAAGCGAATTATATCGGGTCAACAACTCGGCTTTGTAAGCTTGCGTGAACATGTCATAAACCATTTGAGAGACATTTTAAGTAATTGATTCTATACGAGCCTGCGTTAGAACTAAACGATGGATGGTTCGATGACAGCGTTCAACCCGCAAGGCGAAGCAGTGTAGTGTGGCAAGACCGCCGACAACGTAATGGCCTCTGTGAAGTCAAACTGGGATTACTTTTGAGGTTTTCCGTATAAAGTGAATCGTTTCAGGTTGTGAAGCGTCAGTCATATTTGGGATAGATTTCTGTAGAAATAATATCATTAATCGGTTAGAAATTATGAAGGGATTATTAAAGTTTCACATTACAATGCAACAGAGGAAAAAAGTAATAGAAAGGACAGGATTTTTAATGATATATAAAACCGATTCCCACAGGCAAAAATGAATCAGATTTCTAATCGCTGACGATGGTTTGGAGAACGCCAAAATTTCACATTTTGTTAAATCATCAGATAATGGATGGACTCGTTTATATTCGTTATTTCATATATATTATACTGCCGAAGCGCCAATATGAGGTTGTAGAGTTAAGAGCGAAAATAACACAAAATTTATTTGCATTCTGCCGTTCACGTACAATACTTTTTCTATGACAGGAAGTTATCGATTCGCTCTGCTACTCCTAACAAACCCCTTGTTCGTTAGCTCTTTGGCTTCTACCTTAGTCAAATTAAGCAGTTTGTAAATTACATCGACGATTTATGCTCATTGTTCCATGTAGTGAGTGTTTTCTCTGAAAATTCATTTGTGAAGTGAAACCGATTCATACTTTCCTTGTCTCGTTGTCTCTTTCTTCAATAAATTATTTTAAATCCAGTTATCGTATACGAAGCTTCAACACGGACACGACCTCCTGCCTACCGAGCCTTAACGGTAGCGTTCTTCCGCATACGGCAAACGAATGCGCTATGTAAAAACGACCTCTGCCTTCGGTACCCGAACGCTATGCCCAAACCCTCAGCCTACGACGTAGGGGAGCTCTTTTTAAATTTTAAAGCTACGGTTTACTGACGCCCTACTTGAACCCCCAGCCTACGATGACACTGCCTCCCATACTCGGTATACGAACGCTCTACCAATGCACGACCTCCCGCCTGTGACATGCGGACGCTCTTCTCAGACCCGATCTCTCGTCTGCTGTGTACGGACTCTTTACCAAGACACAAACTCCCGCCTGTGGTAAACAGATGTTCTAAACAGACACAATATCCTGCGTATGGTATGAGGACGACTACAAACACACGATGTCTGTCGTCGGTATACGGACGTTCAAAACGGACACAAACTTATTTGCGGTATACGGACGTTCAACACAGACACAAACTCATTTTCTGTATACGGACGTTCAACACAGACAAAAAGTCATTTTCGGTATACGAACACCCTACCTTGACACAATTTTATACTCGGTATACGGGCGCTCTTCACAGACAAAAACCCATCTTCAAACTTATATTCTTTCATACGGAAGTTCTACACAGACACAAACTCTAAATTCGGTATACGGACGTTCAAAACGGACACAAACTTATTTTCGGTGTACGGACGCTCTACACAGACACAAACCTATTTTCGGTACACGGAGGTTCACAACGGACATAAACTTCAGAAACTTATGATCGGTATACGGACGCTCTTCACAGACACAAACCCATGTTCGGTATACGGACGTTCAAAACGGACACAAACTCATTTTCGGTATACGGACGCTCTACACAGTCACAAATTCATTTTCGGTACACGGACATTCTACATAGAAACGACCTGACGCCTGTTGTACGTGCAATTTGGACGGACACGACGTCTTCTTTTGCTGAGTAAGGTTATCAATCGCATAAAATGTTTATTGGTTTTGAATCTTAGTATAAAATGAGTTGACAGAGAACGTTTCTCTCTATTGAATTTCGCGGAATTCAGTGACATCTGTATCAGAACTTTTAGTGTATCTTTTTTGTATTTGGTGTTAGATTACCTCAGCCGAGCGGCGGTTTGCCAATATTAGACGTTGAAACCTCGAAAGTGTGTGCAATGTTTTCTTATTTAGGCCCAAATACGAGTTAATTTAAATTACTTTGAGATTATGTATGTATCACACAGGTTATATTACATGATAAGAAAGTTTAAGTTCCATACATTTCTGGCGGTGCTAGTATTCTCCAAGTAATTAGTATTGTTCTGTTTCACGAAAGAGAAGACACTGTTATAACATGTAAAATATTCCGTGCCAAGTCAGATATGAAAAAGTACACAAACGTCTTGTCTGAACAATAATTCAAAAGTTAAACGATCTATCACCTATAGGAATATCGTCTTCTATGATACATGAAGGTTGTGACCTAGATACGAATATTATAGTGTGAAAATAAATGGTGAGCTTTGATGCGGATACTGAGGAGCAGGTGCAGTGTCACTACTGATGCTTTCTCTGTCATGTCCATACCAGTTTACACTACACGAATGAACCAGCCGCCGAGTTCTTTTCAACATATCAGATATGGCGCCTGACAGAAATTCTGAGATGTATTCAACAGAAATGTCTTTACGAACAGACAGATTCAGACTGTAAATCTGAGAACAAGTTATCATTCCATCGCTCAAAGCTAATGAGAAATGACAATTCCGATTTTTCAGCTGATTACGCATTGAATAACCCAACAGCGAGATAAAACTTTCGAATACTTTTCCAATATATTCGCTTAGTGATAGGAATGTCTTATCAAGAAACACATGAAAAATCCTGTTTTATAAGGAATTTCAATAATTTCTGATATACGATATCAGGTCTTAACTACAGGGGTTCAGTAATAGTATCAGCAATAAAATTAATAACATAATAAGTCTCTTATCTTAGTTTGTAATTATTGTCAAATGTGATGTCGTCATCAAAAATGGCGCCACAAAATAGCTGTGTCCGTTTGATATTGTCCTCCACATGTTAGCTTGGTGTCACAAATAGCTGTGTCCGTTTGATACTGTCCTCCACATGTTAACTTGGTGCCACAAATAGCTTTGTCCGTTTGATACTGTCCTCCACATGTTAGCTTGGTGTCACAAAATAGCTTTGTCCGTTTGATACTGTCCTCCACATGTTAACTTGGTGCCACAAATAGCTTTGTCCGTTTGATACTGTCCTCCACATGTTAGCTTGGTGTCACAAAATAGCTTTGTCCGTTTGATACTGTCCTCCACATGTTAACTTGGTGCCACAAATAGCTTTGTCCGTTTGATACTGTCCTCCACATGTAAGCTTAGTGCCACAAATAGCTTTGTCCGTTTGATACTGTCCTCCACATGTTAACTTGGTGCCACAAATAGCTTTGTCCGTTTGATACTGTCCTCCACATGTAAGCTTAGTGCCACAAATAGCTTTGTCCGTTTGATACTGTCCTCCACATGTTAGCTTGGTGCCACAAATAGCTGTGTCCGTTTGATACTGTCCTCCACATGTTAGCTTGGTGCCACCAATAGCTGTGTCCGTTTGATACTGTCCTCCACATGTAAGCTTAGTGCCACAAATAGCTGTGTCCGTTTGATACTGTCCTCCACATGTTAGCTTGGTGCCACAAATAGCTGTGTCCGTTTGATACTGTCCTCCACATGTTAGCTTGGTGCCACAAATAGCTGTGTCCGTTTGATACTGTCCTCCACATGTTAGCTTGGTGCCACCAATAGCTGTGTCCGTTTGATACTGTCCTCCACATGTTAGCTTGGTGCCACAAATAGCTTTGTCCGTTTGATACTGTCCTCCACATGTTAGCTTGGTGCCACAAATAGCTGTGTCCGTTTGATACTGTCCTCCACATGTTAGCTTGGTGTCACAAATAGCTGTGTCCGTTTGATACTGTCCTCCACATGTTAGCTTGGTGCCACCAATAGCTGTGTCCGTTTGATACTGTCCTCCACATGTTAGCTTGGTGCCACAAATAGCTGTGTCCGTTTGATACTGTCCTCCACATGTTAGCTTGGTGCCAAAATAGCTGTGTCCGTATTGATACCTGTCCTACCTTTAGTGTCATATGTATTAGTATTATCTATAGCTTGTGCCATAATGTTTACCTGCCTCTAGTGTCTATTTATTGTAGTAATCTCTATAATGTTTTACCTACCTTTAGTGTCTATATATTGTAGTAATCTCTATGATATTTTACCTGTTTCTAGTGTCTATATATTGTAGTAATCTCTATAATGTTTTACCTGCCTTTAGTGTCTATATATTGTAGTAATCTCTATAATGTTTTACCTGTCTCTAGTGTCTATATATTGTAGTAATCTTTAATGTTTTACCCACCTTGGCCAATATTACATATATTGTATACGATATTTTATATTGTAGTAATCTCCACCTCTAGTGTCTATATATTGTAGTAATCTCTATAATGTTTTACCTACCTTTAGTGTCTATATATTGTATTAGTATTATCTATAATGTTTTACCCACCACTAGTGTCTATATATTGTAGTAATCTCTATAATGTTTACCTGCCTCTAGTGTCTATTTATTGTAGTAATCTCTATAATGTTTTACCTACCTTTAGTGTCTATATATTGTAGTAATCTCTATGATATTTTACCTGTTTCTATATATTGTGTCTATATATTGTATATATTGTAATCTCTATAATGTTTTACCTGCCTTTAGTGTCTATATATTGTAGTAAACTCTATAATGTTTTACCCACCTTTAGTGTCTATATATTGTAGTAATCTCTATAATGTTTTACCTACCATTAGTGTCTATATATTGTAGTAATCACTTTAATGTTTTACCTGCTTTAGTGTCTATATATTGTAGTTTTACCTGCCTTCTAGTGTCTATATATTGTAGTAATCTCTATAATGTTTTACCTGCCTTTAGTGTCTATATATTGTAGTAATCTCTATAATGTTTTACCTGTTTCTAGTGTCTATATATTGTAGTAATCTCTATAATGTTTTACCTGTCTCTAGTGTCTATATATTGTAATATTCTCTATAATGTTTTACCTGTCTCTAGTGTCTATATATTGTAGTAATCTCTATAATGTTTTACCTGCCTTTAGTGTCTATATATTGTAGTAATATCTATAATGTTTTACCTACCTTTAGTGTCTATATATTGTAGTAATCACTTTAATGTTTTACCTGCCTTTAGTGTCTATATATTGTAGTAATATCTATAATGTTTTACCTGTCTCTAGTGTCTATATATTGTAGTAATCTCTATAATGTTTTACCTGTCTCTAGTGTATATATTTTGTAGTAATCTCTATAATGTTTTACCTGTCTCTAGTGTCTATATATTGTAGTAATCTCTATAATGTTTTACCTGTCTCTAGTGTCTATATATTGTAGTAATCTCTATAATGTTTTACCTGCCTTTAGTGTCTATATATTGTAGTAATATCTATAATGTTTACCTGCCTTTAGTGTCTATATATTGTATTAGTAATCTCTATAATGTTTTACCTGCCTTTAGTGTCTATATATTGTAGTAACATCTATAATGTTTTACCTACCTTTAGTGTCTATATATTGTATTAGTATTATCTATAATGTTTTACCTGTCTCTAGTGTCTATATATTGTAGTAACATCTATAATGTTAACATCTATAATGTTTTACCTACCTTTAGTGTCTATATATTGTAGTAACATCTATAATGTTTTACCTACCTTTATATATTGTAGTATTTATTGTATATATTGTAATCTCTATAATGTTTTACCTGCCTTTAGTGTCTATATATTGTAGTAACATCTATAATGTTTTACCTACCTTTAGTCACTATATATTGTAGTAACATCTATAATGTTTTACCTACCTTTAGTGTCTATATATTGTAGTAATCTCTATAATGTTTTACCTGCCTTTAGTGTCTATATATTGTAGTAACATCTATAATGTTTTACCTGTCTTTAGTGTCTATATATTGTATTAGTATATATTGTATCTATAATGTTTTACCTGTCTCTAGTGTCTATATATTGTAGTAATCTCTATAATGTTTTACCTGCCTTTAGTGTCTATATATTGTAGTAATCATCTATAATGTTTTACCTACCTTTAGTGTCTATATATTGTAGTAATCTCTATAATGTTTTACCTGTCTCTAGTGTCTATATATTGTAGTAATCTCTATAATGTTTTACCTGTCTCTAGTGTCTATATATTGTAGTAACATCTATAATGTTTTACCTACCTTTAGTGTCTATATATTGTAGTAACATCTATAATGTTTTACCTGCCTTTAGTGTCTATATATTGTAGTAACATCTATAATGTTTTACCTACCTTTAGTGTCTATATATTGTAGTAACATCTATAATGTTTTACCTACCTTTAGTGTCTATATATTGTATTAGTAATCTCTATAATGTTTTACCTGCCTTTAGTGTCTATATATTGTATTAGTAATCTCTATAATGTTTTACCTGCCTTTAGTGTCTATATATTGTAGTAACATCTATAATGTTTTACCTGCCTTTAGTGTCTATATATTGTAGTAACATCTATAATGTTTTACCTACCTTTAGTGTCTATATATTGTAGTAATCTCTATAATGTTTTACCTGCCTAGTGTCTATATATTGTAGTAATCTCTATAATGTTTTACCTGCCTATATATATTGTAGTAACATCTATAATGTTTTACCTGCCTTTAGTGTCTATATATTGTAGTAATCTCTATAATGTTTTAATTTACCTACCTTAGTGTCTATATATTGTAGTAATCATCTATAATGTTTTACCTGCCTTTAGTGTCTATATATTGTAGTAACATCTATAATGTTTTACCTGCCTTTAGTGTCTATATATTGTAGTAACATCTATAATGTTTTACCTACCTTTAGTGTCTATATATTGTATTAGTATTATCTATAATGTTTTACCTGTCTCTAGTGTCTATATATTGTAGTAATCTCTATAATGTTTACCTGCCTTTAGTGTCTATATATTGTATTAGTAATCTCTATAATGTTTTACCTGCCTTTAGTGTCTATATATTGTAGTAACATCTATAATGTTTTACCTACCTTTAGTGTCTATATATTGTAGTAACATCTATAATGTTTTACCTACCTTTAGTGTCTATTTATTGTAGTAATCTCTATAATGTTTTACCTGCCTTTAGTGTCTATATATTGTAGTAATCTCTATAATGTTTTACCTGCCTTTAGTGTCTATATATTGTAGTAACATCTATAATGTTTTACCTGCCTTTAGTGTCTATATATTGTAGTAACATCTATAATGTTTTACCTTCCTTTAGTGTCTATATATTGTAGTAATTACTTTAATATTTTACCTGTCTCTAGTGTCTATAGATTGTATTAGTAATCTCTATGATATTGACATACCTTCAT